TTTGACCGAACACGCTTTCGCTATCTTAATTTATTCCGCTGCGCGACTCTATAATGGTACCGATTATTCCGATAGACTTCCTTGTGGGCAATTAGTTCTTCTATGCCCAAGTTGTCTACATATGGAACATCTCTTAGGGATTCCTTTTTGTCCAAGTTGTGTATCATCCTTTTTTTGCTCCCAACTCTCGAAACTTCTTTTCTTTCTTGGTCTACCTAGCAAGACCCATTTTGGTGGAGGCAAAATATCAGGATTTGAAGTCCTTTGCCGTAGATGAGGTCCATTGAGAGGGAAAATGATTGGAATGTATGTTTCTTCATACGTGGAAGTTCTAAACCAATGCGGTATGAACTCTTCTGGATTAATGTTCAAAAATCTCATTGTTGTGACTGCATGACAACAAGGAATTCCTGATACACTCCACTTTCTGCAGCTACAATCTCTTTTGTCTACATCAACGACATACTTTTCACCTATGTTGGATGTATGGCAGATCTCAAATATTTGCATCCCTAACCAACTGCAAAATCATAAACCATGAATGTTAAATGGAAACAGTATAAACAGCAATAGTAAAGGAAATCAGTAGTTGTCATACTTAGGTATCCAATATTTTGTCTTCTCTAACTCTTTTTGTAGCCTCTTTTGAATTTTGGGATAAATGGGACCTTGAAATCTACTTATCTTCTCTCTATTGGATGCCCACCTCTTCATCAGGTATATACGAATCTCTTCCAACATTGTTATGATTGGTTTTCCCCTTGCATCTAAGATGACACTGTTAAATGCTTCTGAAATGTTATTCACAAGTGTGCATAATCAGGTCTTCCTGTAAATCTGGACCTAGACCAAAATATGCAAAAATATGAAGTTAAACATTTGGAAAAGAAACAAACATTTACAAAACATGAAACAACAATTACAGTTTTGAATACTAGCGTAGGTGGAATATCTATCAAGTGTTTGAATGCATCTTTATTAACGTCCTTAATTTATTGCATCACTGACTCCCATGCTTGAGGATGTGTTGATGATGTTGCCTTCCATAGTAATTGTCTCAGAGTTATGCCACTAAATTTCTTCCTAAAATTTTAATATATGTGCCTGACACAAAAACGTTTGTCCACCCCAGGCAAAAGATTTTGTAAAGCTGGCAGAAGTCCCTATCACAATAAAGAAAGAAAGTATGAGTCTTAAATTTCCATCGTCATCAAAGTAATAAATAAAAGTTACACATTTACTTACTTTTTGTTGATCTGATACAAATGTACACCTTGAACAAAAGCCCCCACCTCCAAGATCATTAATTAACCATTCTAAAAACCAAGTTCATGTTTCCTTATTCTCTACTTCAACAACAACATATGCTAACAGACACATCTGGTCATTGCCATCTCTTCCAACAGCAGTTAAAAGTTCACCTCCATATTTCCCTTTTAAGAAACAACCATCCAAATGTATAATAGGCCTACAACATACAAAGTTATCCTTACATGCTTTGAAACACACATACATTCTCTTGAATATGGCCTTATCCTCTGTTGGTTCTACATTAACTTTAATTGTTGAGCCAGGGTTTGATCTGAGTAACTCGTGTGCATAATCAAATAGTCTTTCATATTGTTGCGAAACAACCATCAATGTTGGTGGATGTCATTGCTTTTTCCCTACTTGTTGTAGACCTAGACACACCAATGTTATACTTTTTACAAAATTTATTTTGCAGGTTTTTCATATTAATATCCGAATTTCCTTTCATACTCTTCTCTAACCTCTCACTTAACCATTTAGAGGTAACTAAACAAATTTTGAATTCCTTACTACATGTATGACTGTTTACAATTTTCCTTAACTGCCATGTACATTGGCTACTCCTATATCCACAATATGCATACCATGGACATTTCCCTTGTGAACCAATACATTTGGCGCATATTCTTCTCTTGTCATTCTTAGAAATCTTCAACTTCCTACCGTTATGTACTCCATAAGTTCTAATTGCATCAGTGAAATCTTTTTTTTCAGGAAAGTATGTTCCCAGTTGCCATTTATATTCTTTCATACTAATTGGCTTGAGAAGATCCTAAAATCTCCATATCGGGTTGTTTTATTATCTGAGTCATCACTTAAATAAATACTGCCACAACTATTAGATTCTCACTCACTATCAAATAATCCCCTGGCCTGTACATGCTTATTTGGAGTAGGACATCCACTTCCTGTACCCACTTCAACAAACAAACTACCTTCGTATTGCTCTTATTGGGGTTCTTCATCTCCTTGCACTATAACATCCACCAAATCATCTTCATTGACAGAAGCATCTTCATTAGAACCTACCCAACTACTAACATCAAACTCATCCTATACATCCCCTACACAACCACCAGCATTATCCTGCCCATCCCCTACACCACCACCAACATCATCCTCAGCATCCCCTACACCACCATCTACACCACCACCAATGATATCATCCTCACCATCTTCTACAACATCCCCTAAATCGCCCTCTACACCACCACCAATGATATCATCCCACCATCCCCTTCATAACAAACACCATCATCATCTTCACCATCCTCACCAACGTCTTCTTCACTCCCATCTTCATCAGCTTTATGTTCACCATGTTCAGTCAATTTACCTTCAACATCCTCACCAACGTCATGGACCTGATGTTCATCATGTTCACCAACTTCAGCAACTTTATCTCCATCCTCACCAACTTCTTGTTCACCATCCTCACCAATTCCTTCTTCACCACCATTCTCACCAACCTCATCACTTTTATGTTCACCAACATTACCAACTTGACCTCCTCCATCTTCACCAACTTCTTCTTCACCCTCTTCAC